ACACACACACACACACACACACAGAGACGCCTCTCGACAATATGCGTTTTTGCTCGCTGTAACAGCGCCATGGCGCTACACATCAAAAGCGCATTAAAACGAATAATTGCACCGGTAGCCTGGTGTGATTGCAACCTGGAGTTTATATTTCCCATCGGGTAGCATAAGTGATATTTGCGTTTTGCTGATTTGTATAAGCTTTGTAATCCATGAATACCGCTGATAAACTTCCCAGAATTGTTAACAGTTTTATTGAAATCTGAGAAGATGAAATCAAGAAAAAATTGAGAAGCTCTCGACTGCTAATACATAGATCTGTGTGCACTAAATTTTTATGACTTGATAGGACCATAAAACAAACGCTAGCGGAATGCAAATAAAATTCGAATCAGCATGCGAAGCTGCAAACAAAGGCGTCAGAAAATGAAAAATTCTTATTTGCTTTATTTTTATCACTTTTGATTAAATTTTTTGTAGGCCCCGCATAGGCTTCACCAGGCATATCTTTTCAAAATTTTTGAACGGAAGTTATATTTTAAGTGACGTAGATCAGCTGTGCAAAGAATGCAATGCAGCAAGAAAGCTGCCTGCTTTTCGCTTTTTTAATGCTTAGCTTTGAATACGGAAAAATTAACTTCATTTCACAAATTGTTTTCACTCAGCGATTGCATGCCACTAATATTGCTGGCATCTAGAAAGCAATATGGCTCTCGAAAAGCTGCAATAATAAAATATATTTCAGTGATACATAAAGAAGATGAATAAAATATACATAAGCTGGTTCCCATAAGCTGACTCTTTAATCCTCACTTATGTCTTAGAAAAACAGCCTGGACTATTTGTTAGGCGGCATCAGCGATAAGCGTCTGGCATGTTTGTTGCTAATGGTATAAGAGCGATAAATCAATCGGTACGATAAATCATTTCACTGTGAGACAGAACGGCTGGCTGAATCGGTATCTCTCGGGCTACTAATTCTCGAACATAACGCTAATCAGGCACGGTTCGCAAATTGCCTCTGATTTCTGGCTCTTAGCTTCCGAGTTTGTCAGCGTTTCTTCCCAACAGCGACTGCTACCAGCCCATCATCTTGCCATATTTTACTTTGAGAATGTTCATTGCCTTGCATTTTGATGATAGGTGCGCTTATTCTGAAGAAGTCTTGATGGGATGTTAGAATAGTGTGGTCGAATTTGCGGTTTCACCTCACTTGTGCCAGTGGGTGAAACGTAAATAAACTTCGGCGGTGCTTTTTGGAATGAAGATTTCTAAATTCCCAGCTTGTTTGCTTGCTAGGCTGCAAGAAAGTTGATAAATTTGCAATTTCAAATTTCATGCACAAATAGGTGGCGTGCAGGTTGTCATCTGCTATGATTTCCAGTTCCACCTGTATGCGAATGATAATATTAAAACAGGAGGGTAGCAAATGAATGACCTTTACCAGGCGCACCGTGTAAGCTCACCACATGACCAAGCTATAGCACTGCAGACACACTCCAGCATTACTAGGCGATCTTTCTACACGATGAAATCGTGCGAAAACACATGATGCGTATTAATTGATTTATTTCTATCTTTCCATCGGACAGCGTTGTCTTAGCTTCATAATTCATGCGTACCCCTGTTAAACTTTTCCAGAACTGTTGTTAACAATTGTTTCAAAATTTGAGAGGATGAAATCAAGAAAAAGTTGAGAAATTCTGGGCTGCTAATGCATAGATTTGTGAGTGCCAAGTTTTTAGGATTTTGGTTGAAAGAACAAGGAAATAAATCTTAGCGGAAAATAAATAAAATTCAAGTTAACTTGTGAGGCTGCAAGCAAGAGATCAAAAAATGAAAAATCCCATTTACTTTATTCTTTTCAGTTTTGATTAAATTTTTTATAGGCTCCACGTAAAGTTTATCTAAGATTTCATATTTTTCGAACGGGATTTATGTTTCAAATGCCGTCGATTAGCCAAACAAAAGAAAAGAAATGCCGCAAGTAAAGCCGCCTCAGTAGCATTCTCTCCATCTCAGCTTTTGTGATGTCATTTAACTTCATAAACCGTTTTTGTGCATCGATTGCATGCTGCTATTGTAAACCGTTCTTGACGCCTTAGGCTGTGACTAGTGTGGCTGTGACTAACAGCAAGCTCTGCTAATAAGAATATGGGAATATTTAAATATTGTAATAACTTAGATGAATAAGGTCCTCGCAGCCTAGTTCCCGTTCCTCATCCCTAAATCATGTCACTGACAAACGGCTTGGATCGAGGAATCGGCTTATGAGAACCATGTTTAATTAACTAAGTTATGATGTTTAGCCCAGGTTGGAACGCACCAGGATTGATGTTACGATCATACATCTTTGCACCAGGCTTGAAGTCGTTAACTGCATGAATGGTTCATATTCTGTTTCAGTTTCAACTTTCTAGCTTTTCTGGTTCCTGAGCTAGTAATTTCCAGTGCTTTCCCCGCCAAAAATTTAACGCGCTCGTACATGAAAACTACAAACACTTGGGGCTAAATTTGAAATCTTTAACTTATACTTGCCAAGAGAATAACCCTGCAAAGTCTCAGCTCTCTGCCTTGTGTGGTTCCCGAGATCGCTTACCCACCAAATTTACCAATTCCTTTAAAGAGTCTCTACGCGGCACCTAAGTATACATGGGGAGAGAATCCCTCAGGTGGTGGGCACATACTTCCAAAGTTCCAGCCCTCTAGAATTTCTGGTTCTCGAGTTGAAAGTGGGTAACAAAAAGTGCGAACACACAGGCACACACGCACAGACGCACACACACAAACACACACAGGCATCCTCTTGCCAATATGCGTTTTCGCAATTTACGTATATGCAAAAACGCGTAAATATATCATATTTCATTATCCGAAATTTTTGTAAGCCAAATCGCTCCCAAAACGTCAGGAGCGATTTAGGCTACATCTCCACTAAACCTCTGACACGCTTGTTGCTAATGGAATAAAAGCAACAGATCGGCTTGATAAATCACTTCACGAAGATAAGGAACGAAGCACGCTCTCCTCCGGCGGATATTGTAAAAAGACGAATCACGTTAACAACGAAGCGGAAGTTTGGTGGTCTCAACCTGACTCGTACCAGTTTTTCCGATTAGGACAACAGTGACGCGATTCCTCGCGCAGCCGATTTTTCACTATCAGCCGTGGTAGGGAATCCTGGCATGCATCCAGGTGGCCCATTAGATTTGGGAAAGCAGTATGGCCAGAGAGTAGGAGGACAGGGTATTAGAGCTGAGATCCAAGCCTTTTACGCTGGTATTATCATTACACCGTCCAGTACTGGGCGCTATCTGAGATCACTTACTTTTAAATAGTGCTCCGGATTACTGACACTCAAGCATAGCACTGATAAGTTCACAAAATGGTCTGGGTCTGGTTCTTAGTTTCTTGGCCATTCAGCATGTTTTCCGATACTGCAGAACCAGCACCACGCTATTACACCATAAAAATTTTGCTTTAGGAAGGGTTCACTGCCTTACAGTTTGATGACATATGCGCTGATAGCGCAATGAAGTTTGCTTGTCACTTTTCATGTGTTGGTGTGTCGGACTAAGCATAATTCAGCGGTCGTGCAAAAAGCTGTGGGTTCAGTTTCGCCAGTGGAGCAAAAATCCCTCTGCGATTCATTCATTCATTTCCATGATAAATTGGTATTAGCGCATACAAAGAACTCTTTAGCTTGCTTGCAAGGAAAGCTTGAATGAGTGCTGCCATAGAGAGAATTGCCAGCGGTTGGTTACTGCTTGCATTTGCTACCACCGAATTATTTCGGTATGCCTCCACCTATCGTGTTGAGCTAACATGGAACGGATTTTGACTTTCACTTTCACCTTTTCTAGTTTTGTTCACTCCAGGCAGAATGGTATTCCTCCTGTCGTGCATAAATTGTAGCAGTACACTGCCACATTTGCAGTTTTACTCATCTTATGTCTAGAAGTGTGCGAGCGATTGCCAAGGCATTTATTTTTCCCTCAAAATATCGGCAATGACTGAAAATGAATGGACGCACTTGCGTGTGGAATGTTTGCATGCCGCTGCACATGTTTTGTTTCATTTCACGCTGTAATTCTACAGTCATCTCTTACAATAATTGAAAATTAAAAGACAAAAATGTGCTTGACGCAATCACAGCGGCTTGCAAATATTGCTGGCGCATCAATGCTTACAAAACAGACTTCAGCAAAAATTACATGTGAAAGCGCAACGTTCACTCATCAGTTTCATCCATCTTGGAACACGACAGTACGGCAAGTAATCCTTACAGTCCCGGCCAGATCACGACAGTTACAGCGCGAGCATGTCTTCACGCAGTTCGGCCTGTTAGCTTCTGAACAATTTGCTCTGGTGCAACCGGAGACCTTATCCGCACAGCATTCTTTACCCACGCCACATGAGCCTTTGCAACTGAACCGCATTTGCAAAGCAGTTTTCGAGCCGCTGCATAACCCCAACGATGCATATCTGACACAGTTTGCATGAGTGTCTTTGCATTTATCTGAAACGACATCTAGACACATTCATCAAATAGGTGCAGATAGTGCTGCTAAAGCTTATTCCGTTTGGCCTCACTTTCAACAGCGCTAAGAAAATTTTTTTTTTAGCTGCTTCATTGTGGCTCCTTTCATTTTTCTCATTTATAACCTTTCGCTAGGCATAAGTTTTGACCTAAAAGGTCTGATCAAAGCTGCATCGACCGGCGGTCGGCCTGCTACAAAAGCTGGCTTTCGTTTCGTGTCCTGAAGGAATTACCCACCAGCCGCCCTCCCAATACAAACACTCCGGTAAGGCTTGAACGTTTCGAGAATTCATGAATGTGTGCGGAATACCGTCTCCAACTATAAAGAACCTTGCTACTTTGACCGCAATGTTTGGGAGCCCTGACTGGGCAATAGTTCATAAGCCTGGAAGTATTCAAAACAGTTTGAGGTGTTTATTGAAATTCCGTAAAACCCGAGTTACCGAAGAAATTTTAAGAATAACTGCTTATGCTATAATTTATCGGAACTATCCACGCAGCATCCTGATTCCTCCTCGATTTCGTAAGGATACGTTGAACATAGGCATTTCGGTCATCGTTTTGTAATGCATTTGTCCAGAATTGGTATCGTCTCACTATTAGATCCCCATCTCCTTTAAAGGTGGATAACGGGCTGGTTTAAAAAAATTTTACAAAAAGTTGGGTTAGTGCGAAAGTGTTAAATGTAAGAAAACAACAGCGCTTAAGATTTCTAAAACACAAAAGCTGGTTTGCACAAAAAAGACTCAAATATGCCACGAACCTTCTGGGCTT